ATGTGAGGTTCTGTGTTCAATCCCTAGTATCATAAAAATAAAATAAAATGGTCACTGTCTTTTGATCTAGCAATTCTTTTTTCATTTCTTTTATTACTGCAATAGCCTCATCTTTTATTTAGCCTTCTGACTCTGTACTTGTGCCTTCAACACTTTCACCATGATTTTCTGCTCTTCAATAAGGAAAACACGCTTGATCCTGTCACAGACACACTTGGCACACATGAAGCCCCGGTAAGCCCTGCTAATGTGCTTCTTCATTTTAGACACTCATAAGAACTTTAGGCCACACAGTTCGAACCCCTCGAAGTCTGCCTGGGCACACACCACATGCAGATTTGGGGGCCTTCCCAACCTTCTTGGTATAGAGCGGAACAATTACATTCCCTGGGGTTCAAGACAGCCTAGTTTTGTTAGAGGCAGTGTTGCAGGAAAGCCTACGATGGTACATCAGGTGCTGGATCATTGTGAAAGCCTCTAGACACCATATCTGGAAGAGCTGATCTAGCAATTTCTAAAAAATGTACCCTACTCCCCTACAGATACACCTGTCTTATAAAGATCCCGGGATATTGTACTGGAATATTGGTTATGGAGTCATTTGTGGTAGCAACAGACTGTGGACAACTACAACTGCTATCAAGAGAGGACTGAGGTTTTTTTGTTTTGTTTTTTTAATCTTTTTCAGAATTGGAAATTGAATACAGCAGCCACACCCCTAGTCTTTTTTTTTTTTTCATTATTTTTTGAGACAGGGTCTTCTTAAGTTGCTAAGTTGCTCAAAGCAGGTTTGAAGTTGTGATCTTTGTACCTCTGTCACCATGAGCACTCAAACCATAATTGTGTTAAGACCACACCCAGCTAGAAGGGGACTAAAATAAATATTATTTTTGGCTTTTGGGGGAGGACTGAACCCAAGGCCTTTGCAATGAGCTACAGGTTGAACTAAATCACAACATGCAGGCCAGGGAGATGGCTCAGTGTAAGTACTTCCCTGGCAAGCACAAGGGCTTGAGTTCAATCCCCAGTTCTGCCAAAAAACCCAAACAAACAAAATAAATCACATCATGCTGGTGGGGATACTAACAATGGGAAGTCTTTGTTTTGTTTTGTTTTTCTGGTACAAGGGATTGAACTCAGGACCTTGCTAGGCAGGTGCTTATGCTGTTGAGCTATCTCCCCGGCCCAACAATGGAAGTTTATACAAGTGTAGGGCATGAAATATATGGAACTCTCCGTCTCTTGTGCTCCATTTTGCTGAGAACCAAAAAATCCTCTAAAAATCAAGTCTACTAAAAAAATCAAAAGTATAAAAATGGGCATGTAACTATGTTACTGCTTAACATGCATGCAGTACTAGTAGAAGTATACATGTAAAAGTTGTAACAGTGGCAGCCCCAGCTGGGAAACTGCAGGCCTAGGGGACCCAGAGGTCTAGAGAGAAAGAAGTTCTCACTGTGTCTGCATTTATGCTGTTTGAATTTCTTAGCTCGTGTTGATACTACTTCTCAACTCTAACAGCATCAGCAAAAACTGGCCTGTGCAAAACGAGTTAAATGAAGATCAGAATATGGTACAATGCAGTGCAGAGAGGAGACTCAATCAACAATTTAATAGAATCTGAATGCAAATAAATAGGCATTAACAATTTTTAAAGTGAAGTCAAGAAAAAAAGATCTTTATTTTGTTGTACAAAACTTGGTGATTAAACACATGATGATTAAACACATCCTTTGGGAAGGGGAGGATTAAATGGATACACAAGGACCTAAAGGTCCTGATGACCTCAGTGCAGAGAATTTTTTAAAATAAATAATTCCAGGCCTGTAAGATAGCTCAGCAGTCTAAAGTGGTTTGATCCTGCACCAGCCCCGCCCCCAGAGAGGGCTGTGCCGGCCACAACAAAACAAAACAAAACAATTCCCATGGTTCTTGACCCAAAACACCCCATTGGAGACAGATGCTGCCTCCTCGCCTGTCTCTGACCACCCAGTTCCCCTGCCTATAGGCAAGTGTTGACAGATTTATAACCTTCCTGAGACACTTGAGGCACATACAAGTATGCATTCATATGATCTTACCCCTTTCTTTTTAAAACATGTCATGCAGAATAATACAATGTCCTGGATCTTGTCTTATCTCAACAACCTATCCTAAAAATTGTTTCCTCAATAAATACAGAGCTGCCTTAGTCTTCTAGATAGCAGCATGATGTTCACTGTGTGGATACATCATTAATGAACGTCCAGACTGCACATGATTTTGGCTGTTTCTGATACTCTGCTACAAAAAACCAAGGACACACTATCATTTTGTGTGTGGGAAAGTTTATCTATAAGGAAAATTTCATAGAAGTGTAATTCTGAATCAAAGGACACAATACATTTGTAATAGTAATAGCCATTTAGATCAGTGAAACAGTATTCTTTTATCTAGAAAATGATTGATTCCCTGCCAGGAAAAAGGTGGGAGAATAGGAAGTAATGATGGGCTGCTCCAGTTAATAAACAGACAGAGTCAACAGGGTTCCCCTTTGATCCTTCTTAGATTGTTCCTTGTTAAGCAGGTGGGAATACAGACAGTTACTTTTCATACTTCCAGTTGTTACATGTAATAAAATACTGTTGTCTACAATGAAGAACATATGTGAAATCATTTTCTATACATTCTTCCCCCCCTTCTTGATCACTGTGAGACTAAAAAGCACTTATAAGGTGGAAGGACTCTATAAATTAATATATAGATGGGTTTAAATCATACAGGACCAGGGATGTATCAGTGCTACAGTGCTTGCCTAGCATGCATGAGACTCTGGATTCAATCCCCGAGCAAGGGAAAAAACAAAAAAGGAGACCCTCCTGCCCAAGTCATTTCATCCGAGAAATTACACAAGTGATCCCTAATTTTTTACCCATTAAACATGACTAAAAAGATGGACATGGTGGTGCATTCCTATAATCCCAGCACTCAGGAAGCTGAGGCAGGAGACTTGCCATGAGTTCAAGACCAGCCTGAGATATAAAGTTCAAAGCCATGTGAACTACATACATAACGAGACCCTAAAAAAAAAAAAAAAAAAAGTAAATATCTCTAGAATAAATTTTCTACTGTCATTATTCCAAAAATAAAACTATTAAACTGACATCTAAATACCTGGTAGAACTAAGTCTCAAGCCATTTAAAGAAAACTAAGCACAAGGCAGCCCTTCCATTCATTCATCACCCTTAAATGCTATTAAGAGTTTTGCCAGATAGGAAGAAAGTACCAGACATTAGAATGGCCAATTTAAGGTGTCTCCTCATTTCTAGGGGAAGAGCCCTGAAAAGTGTGGACATTCAGCTGCTAGGCCTGTCTTGCTCTATTCCATTGCAACAGCCCTAGTTGGGCTGGGTACAAGTGAAAATCCCAGCCCCTTGAGCCTCCTCTGGGAGGGCCTAGATGTGGTGCTTTGGAAGCCAGACAAGATTCCTGACTTGAGAAGACAAAAGAAATGTAAAAGCAGGAAGAATACATACTGCTCTACATTACCCAAGTCTAAGGGGCAAAGCTGTGACATTTTCTTAGCAAAACAATATGGCCCTAAGACTGTATCAAAAAACCTGCAGCAAGCTGACTAGAGGCTCAGGGGCTAAGTTGTAGCTCTGTGTACATTTTGAGCTCTCCAAAATGATAAAAAACCCAAAGGAATGATAATGACCTACACCGATCTTAAAAAATTATAAAAAGGAATGAATTTCTAAATCATGAGTCCCTTAATCAAATCTCTTTAAAAATATCTGTTAACTCAACACAGGGCACCTTTCTTTTCTGAATTCACCCAGCTTGATGGAACACATGTCATATATTATTGATGAATTATCTCAGGAAGATGGACTAATTTAATTTCCTGCCACCAGGGCTCAAAATCTTGTTTTGGGTCCTCCTCAGAGGAGAGGGTTTTCTTGGAAGAATGCCCTGATACTCTTTCTTTATTATCTCTTCTCTTCTAGTGCATCTAATTACAGACTGATAAATCTTTAAAGGTATGCACTGCCTTGCCAGGAAAGAAAGAACCACAGGTCAGCAGCTCAGCACCTGTTTCTTGATCTTTTCTGCCAGAACTTGTCATTCATTGTTAACACCCACTGTCTGAGTGACTCTTATAGTAAAAAATGGAGTTTCTCCCACCTCATCTCTTTTGTTCATGCAGAAAGTCAGCTCAC